TCCCCAACAAGAGTAACCTGTCCACTTATTCAGGCTATGTGCAACAAATCTTACTGGGATTTCCTTTAAATTCATTTTCTGACACAGGAAAAGGGGATCAGGGGGAGAGAGCACGTCATTATTTTGAAACCCTTGCTTTTCCCAAAATGCAGGAACCATGTCAAAAGCTGTCTGAATATCCCACACACACACCCCCCCCCATGCTTAAATAGGGCTTACATAGACATTAGGAAGGGAGTGGGGATGGGACTTTTCTTCCTTGCAACTAGCAAGATAACCAAGCCAGAATAATTACATACAGCATACTGCAAGTAAACATTGATTCATATGCCATTGCAAAAAGAAAAGGTGAGAGAACAGCAGCTTGAAAATAATGATGTAAAAATCTGTGAAATAATGGTGGAGACAAACAGACCTACAGCAATTATACACACAGCAGTTCAAAAGATTTGTTGGGTTAGGAACAACAGCAGATGATACAATACCCCCTGTGAAAACAGTCCTCCTCACTTGATATCTACACAGCCCTTCTGCCTAGAACTAAGCTAGCACAACAGGCATGAATTCAGGCAAGAAACCACCTGCTAATTAGAGAAGTCACTCCAGTTTAGTTCCAGGTGTCACCACTCAAATAGTTTTTGCATCTAGATACCCTAGGTAGCAACACATTGTGCTACAGCATTTAAAAAAAAATGATAACAACAAACAAGATGGATAGTTTCTGGCCTCGTGCTTCAGGATGTATCACTCAAATGTTTTGAATATGAATGAATTCAAATATTTCTTTAAATTGTATTGCACTTTTTAGACAGCAGTATCTATGACAAGAAGCTGTTTACCAGAATTAGCATTCATTGTTTGAGGACACCTGCAAATCTCTAAGATGGTAGGGGCTAAAAGACTAATTTTTTCATGACATTTGCCTTTCACTGAAATAGAGATTCTTCATGCAACTTCAGCACCTGCTGTGAAACATAACTTCTATTACTTTAGAAGCAATTATACACTTGACTGCTGCATAATCTAGAAAACTAAAAGGTAGTTCCTGCTCCAGAAGAGTTGACACTGGAAAAGATTTATTGTTTATGAATGCAGGAGAAACCCATTTTGACTATTCTGTGGGGCCGCAGTAAATGCAAGGATATACAAAACTTCTAGCAACTATAATCCTTTTCCTGTATGTTTTTGGTACTTTAAAGACACACTGGAAACAGTAAAAGACTGACTGGCCAGGAGACCCTAAAAAAAAAAAAAGCTTTGCTGAAAAATAAATACTATGATCTATGAGAGATTTTTTCTTTAATTATAACTGCTGCCTCTAAAGTTGTGCAAAACTGCTTCTCCCAGCACCTCATGTGTCACTGTTATCATTAGTATCTGTCAGGGCTGTCAAAGATTCTGATTACAAAAGAAAAAAAAAAAAAAGAAAAATAGCAACACGGCAGAAGTTTTTCTGCTTTTTAAATTGGAGTTTAACAACTTCTGTAAACTGTACTTTAGTGCTGCCAACACAGGCAAATATTCACTGCACGTTATTGGAGCACTCCTGCTTGCTCCTTCCTTTGGAGAACAGGGTCCGCACACATACCTAGCTTGTCCTTCAAGCAAATATTTTGAACCTAGATATAGTCATTTTGCATAGTCATTTACACCTGCAAAAAGTGAATATATCACACTGCTATTGAAATTTAATGGTGTTTTGCCATCATTTTATAAAGGCACAAATGATGACTTATGTTGTAGGACAAATGAAAGGAATGAGCCCTTTAGTAACAGGCACATTTAGGAAATGCTACCACTAGCACTGAAGTTAGTGGCTTTCTTTCCATTGACTCATATTGGTAAGGGTTTAATTCTTCCACCAGCTTTCTAAGACTTAATTTGTTAAAACTTTGGCTGAAATCTGAGAAAGGCTGAAGCGTTTTTCCGAGGTGTCAGAAGTGGGGGCTTTTTTGCATTCTGATCTTCTGACACAGATTTTCTCAGATCCATTATCTGCCATTATTTTTACAGATCTGTTGGCATGTGTGGCATTCTGCAGGCTAGAAAGAAGTCAAGAACCATGCTCTGAGGAATTCATTGTCCAAAAATTGGCATATTATTTAATGAGTAAGGACAAAAGAAAACAAGATAAATAGAAATTGCTCCTGGGAAAGTTCCACTGTTTATTTTTAATCACAAAAAATGCAGATTATTCAGACTGCTTCTGTTTCAGATTTGTTTCTTTTTTAATGATTAGAAATGCAAGAGAGAAAGAGGTCAGACAGAGTGACCAAAAGTTCCCCTAGGGAGGATGAAATAGAAGTTACAAAGGGAATAAAAAATGTCAGAACCAAGCCCTCGTATTTTCCTGCCTTTGTGCTGTCAAAGAAGAACAAACCAGAAGGCTTCAAGGGGAAACCTTTTATTTCCTGAATCCTGGGGTATCTTCAAGGTGATGCAAACCCACCCACGCACCCACTGCTCCCAAATTCCCTGGGAAACGCAGCATGAGGTGGGGCTGCAGACTGTGCACAGAGCAGGGCTGCTGTGAGCAGCTCCGCAGCTGGCACACACTCGCATACCTTCATGCAGTTGTAGGACCACCCTAAAATACTCTCAAGTGTTTGGCCCTGTAACCACCCAGAACCAGGGGAGCTGATGCATAGTTCCCAGCACGTTACTCCTTTCCATCCCACCTGACATTCTTTCCCTCCCTCTCCTGCAACACACCCCAGCCTGCATTTAGCAAACACATTCACACCATCACGTTTAAATAGACCTTAATTTTTCTCTGCCTTTGCACTCAATGTTGTCCCCACAGAAGGAGATGCAAATTTCACTGGCAATTAAATTTTGAGTAACTCAATTAGTCTTGAAATACAGAACAGTGAGCATTGTATATTTTCTCTATCATCTCATTTATAATGCTTGTAGATTGTTTTTTAAAAAAAGCTTTTCTCCGGCAATTCTTTGCTGATCATTAACTATAAATAAATTCTCTTGGTGCATGTAAAAGCCTGTTTATTTTATAAACTACAGCTATAATTTTATTTTAAGGTAAATGACTGGCAAGTAAAAAAGCAAAAAGACACATATGTTAAAGGTATTCAAGACAATGCATAAAATTACCAGTCAGCTTCTCCTCACCTTCCCTAATTCCAAATGCAGGAACAGGGAATACAGCTGAATTACAGACCAAGGGATTTACTTATTTGGCAGAAAAAAGAAACATACAGATCAAATCCACTGTTGCAAGACACTTCCAAGATTCATATGGAATTCAATTGTTCACAGGAATATTTGAAGCTACTTCAAAAAAAATCTGCCATGAGTGGGACATGTACTTAATATCTTAGAGAATTTTTAGAGAATTAAGTTTTCACTGTATATTTATAATCAAAATTTGGTGCAAAGTTGTATCAATTATATCAGCATTAAAGGATAAAGCTGACCATAAAGATTTTTCTTCTTCTGGACTATATGTACTGCCTGCTGTACATGTAATTTGTCCATTTTGATATGCATATTTTTCCTTTCTTTTATAAATATGTTACTTTGGAAGAGAAGGCAATGGAGGAAGTAAATAGGTCATCTTGACTTTGTCAGAAAAAAGGTAAAACTTCTTTCTAAGATGGAAGTTAAGTACACTCAGCTTGGTAAAACTAGCATGAATGTGAATCCGTAACGTGTTGTGACTCAAGGTATGGAAGTTCACAGCAAAATTGTGTTAAAGAAAGGAAGATTCAGGTGTGAAATTGAGAAAATCACTAATGCAACTCGATATTAGCTTTCAATTAGCAGATGTAGGCTTTTGCTTTATGTTGTGAAGCTCAGTCTGTTACACTGAAAATAGAAAAAGCCAGAGAACAGTGAAGAAAAAAAATGCTGCTCACTTTCTTTCTTTGCCACGTCCTGAAGGCAGACTCTAGCTGTTGAACATAATGTGTTGTCAACTGATTGTACACTATCAGCTGACCAGAAGCCCAATTACAAGAACACATCAGTCTTCACAAACAAATATAAAAGAAAGAGTTTGGTCAGCATCGGATCCCAATCTCTTGTGAATCAGTACAAACTGCTCAGCAGTGATCTGCTGGGCAGCAGACTAAAGAATTTGACATGGCACATGTTAAGAGGATGAAAGTGGGGCAAGTACATATGTGCAACAAGAACAAATGGACTCCCTGGAAGTCATTTTGGATAAAGGCAAAGGCTGCTGCATCTCCACTCCTATCAGATTTGAGGTCGATGACTCTCTCAAACCCAATTTTCCTGATGGAGCAGAGGAGAGACTTTCCTCATCCTGTATCTGTTACATTTCCTCCAACCTGATTTGTAGACTGGCAATGATAATGTCTTCCACTGCTGTTTTTTTAAATCACAAATTTTGAAAACAATCTAGTTAAGGACACAGACAAAAAAAAAAAAAACCCACAAGAGAGCACTGGGGACAGGAGACATCTGCCAGATTTTCTCAGATAATGAGTTTTTAAAGCTTATTTTTTCATATAAAATTTCCATATCAAAAAAAGCCTTTCCATTTTCTCTTTTCTTGTTACAGTAAAAAGAGTGTTTGGCATATGCAAAATCTTAATATTGGATTTGCACCAGGAAATGAAGCCAGGGTATCTGGCCAGGAAATACATGCTCTGAAAAACGGGCAAATCTAAGATGGCAGTGGCCAAGAGACAAAATACTGTAGATGTCAGGATTTTTGCAGCATGAAAGGCTGGATGAATCACAATGAATCCCTGACAAGTGTTTTCTTTTAAAAGCCTGCTCCAAAAAGTTTCCAGAAAACACTTCCACTTTTGTCTATTTTGCAAATCTACAGGGTAAATTCAGGGCAACGCCGTTATAGAGATGTATTCTCCAAACAGGGCTGCTAATATTAAAATGTTCCTAGTGTCAAGTTTACAAATGGAAGATGCCTTTGTGAAGCAATGATATGCTAACTAAATCATACTATAATGTCTATAATCTGTCCTGTGTCCAACACTGGGAGAAGCAGGTGCATACTCTCAAAGCGCTTTCATAATGTGTTCTTTCTCTGCATTTTTAGACACCATTACTTTGCAGTAATTGTATATATTTGGGAACTTTATAATGAAATGACATGATAAAACAATCCCCATAAAGATGTTAGAAGCTACCTAACAGGTTTCAAGAAACTAATCAATAAAGTATTATTCTTTCTTTAATTCCAAACAATAGCAGCATGGTCTCTAAATTCATTTGCACACTTGTTCTTTCTCTTACCAGCTGTTGCCCTTTTGGACCCCAACCAGCATACTGAAGCTTTGCATTGCTGACCTCGGGGGGATACAAATTCTGGGGATCCCTGGAAAAAGAGAAAAATAAGATTTCAACTTCAGGAATGTCCTTATTTAAGCTGGTTCACACCTGCTTCAGAAATCCACCATGACATCGTACAGCATCTTTCAGCTGAAATAATCTAATATTTAGTGCCAGATTTCAGTAGATTTTTTTTATCCTAAGGCAAGCACTACACCAGTAGCAAGTGCTGGTAAGATCAAGTATTTAATTGACAACTTCTGTTTCTTATTAATATGAACTTAAACACATTAGTTCCACTCCTGACTTGCCTAAGACTTAAGAATTAGTCAAGGGTGGGCAAACAAAGTAATTCTATTTATCAGCACTGATGATGTCCACAAAGGGTAAAAAATAATTATATTTTTGAATCATACTGACAGAAGAAAAATATAATTTCATCTTCTTCACTTCATGTGCCTAATAATTTTCCTCCAAACATGATGTCATTAAGTTTTAGCAACTGTATAACAACTGATATGCTTGGAAGGGAAAAGTTCTTATTAATACTAAATATCTCATTTTTTTAGAAAATGTTTTCTTGTTCTTTCATCCATTACCTTCACTTTGTAGCAGCACATCAGTGTGACATAGCAAATGCAATATAGAAAAAGGAGGCTTTTTTGGTAAATGTCAAGGCAGCCTAATGTCATTTTATCACAGCACAGACAGCATTGCCTTAACTGTATTTATACTCAGCACAAATAATTACATTACATATTCTGAAGTCACATTGCTACAACTCCGTGTACAGCAATATTCTACAAACAAGAACACTAATAAAACCTGTATGCAGTATGCGTCATTAGCAGATCCCAAGCCACTTTAAAAAGTAAGGGTCCATCACTGGTCTACAGATAGGAATAACAAGGCAAATTGAGGCCAGCACAACCCCAAAACAGAGAAGAGAGCCAAAGTCTGCCTAGTCTTTATGCAAAAGGCCTTCTCTACCTGTACAGTTTATGCCTTCATTAAAGGCAATGTTTTCTAGACCATGTTTTCAAAACAGAACAAAACTGTATGCGGTAATTAGACACTAACCAAATTATGTTTATTGCCCGTTTTGTGACCTGTTGCTGTACCACAGTACCGCTTTGGCTTTGCCCTTTCAGGCATGTTCCTGCTGCACTGAGGCTTTTGTAGCAAGTCCAAAGACAGCAGGAAGAGGAGTGGTTAGAAATTGATTTTGCTCAGTCTTCCCAATGTGAAAAAAATAGTCCTTCCTGTGAACTCCTGTTCAAAGGCCAGCTAGAATCAAGGCACACCCTGGATGAGAACACTGATGCCTGGAGTTTCCCCCTCCATAACTCCTGAGGCTGGAACAGCAACTTCTCTCCTGCCAGAAGGTGTGTATCAGTGGTCATAAACCATAACCCATAATGTCTGCAAGGCCCGTGGACCTGATGAGACATTAAAATGCTCAAGATGGCAGACCTGAAGCAGATGGGATCCATTAGCAAAGTGGAGGGGCAAGAGTAGTTTCTTGAGGCACAAACCCTTCAAGTACTGCAAGGTGCCCAGATAGAGCTTTTGGCTCTATAGGCACTGAAATCCATAACTACTGTTGGTGGAGTAAAATTGTATCATTTCTTCTCATGTCTTTTAACAAGAAGATGTCTTTGTGGAAGGTATGGATATGACAACACATAACTCCTATACTGAACTGCTACTAACACCAGCCACAAAATTCCCATTCCAGCAATAGCCATACAACTACTTCTCATATTTTCAAGCTTGTATCCATTAGCTCCTTAAGCTTCAAGTCAGCAATTCCTGTTAAGACTTAATCTCTTTTGTTAGCTATCTTGATTATCTTAATAGAGAGTAACTTCTGAGTGCAGGAGGGAGAGAGAAAAATAGTGAATTAAATCAAAACCTGTTATGGGAGAAAAAATAAGTACTTCACTATTTGTCAAATGAACTATCAAGATCTTGGGGTTTTTTATCCATGGTGACAAGAAAAGCAAGATATTACAAATAGAAGAGGAAATACAATCCCTAAATAAACAGATTATACATATTGTAAGAATTCAAACCTGTAATGCTTCAGATAACACGGGTGGAGCTAAGGGACAGACATACTAATTGCAGCCGATAATTCAGACAACAGCCCAGAGTAGTCCTGTCAGTTCTGCTTACTACATCACCTTTTAGAAGAGGAAAACTCTAACGCCAATGAGAAATGCTACATAAACCATCTTTGTAGCTGATAAGGCAGAAGGAAACTTACTCAATTAGATCTACCAACAGAGAGCTCTGCTGTAGACAAAAAAGCAAAGTCATCTTCCCTTTCTCTGGTATGGCTGAGAAGAGACAGAATTGTACCTCCTGAGTTCCTTCTTAAGTTATTCAGAATGACTGGGAAACTTCTTTTGTAGCAAAATCTTGTTTGCTTGCCTTGAAACTTTTACAGAATTGTATATTGTCTGGAGGTGCCTGATTTCCAAACCTAGTTACCATAAACTGCCCCTATAATTCAGTGTGCAATGGTGTGAATGTCCAGGTTGTGATGTTAGACCACTGCAGGTAGTGGGTAGCCAGACATCCATCCTCATACTGTGAGTTTTTCTTTTCTACCACAGCTATAAAAGCAGTCTGTGAACCTACTTTACCCCAGCAAACACTCCTGAGAGATGGACATTTTCCTCTTAGTAGATTTTGGCTTGTCCCTCACCTCGTCTGAAGAGAATCCTCTTCCCTAGAGTAGCAACATTCACTCTCCCACCTGCAGGAGACTTCAGTGTCATGTGCAAGGGGTTGAGAAGACATCCCTCCTTGCCAAGAAAGGCAGTTTCAGAGAAACTGCAGGAATAATATGGAGATGGGCTGTATTAGCAGTGGCCAAGGGAGACTGGGCTGTCAGCAAAGCCTGAAGGTAGCAGGAAAATGGATTTCACCGACTTGTGAGCCCTACTGTGAAAGACCATATTCCCACACGCTTACTCGGGCTATGTTGGGTGTGTGATCTGCAGTGGAATACGCTTGGACTCCCTCCCAGCCAGCCCAAAGGAACCCCTTTACAAACCCACTATGTCACCTATAGAGAGAGCACGAAGAGTTGCCTACACAACTGCTCTGGGTGGGATGGTCACAACCCTCCACTGCTCTCTCCAAGAAAGCTCTTAGTGATCCTCAAGCTGAAAAACCCATTGAGGAGCAGCTATCAAATACATTTCTGATCATTTCATACTGTTCTGGATCTTCAGTCCTCTTCGATAAAAATCTCTTAGGGGAGTCAGTCCAAATGCACACCTATATCACAGGAGCACTCTTCCACTTTCCAAGTGCTGCATAAATGGGATCTCATGCTGGTCACCTCCTTCTGGGAGATATGTTATTGCTGATAAGATACATTCCTTCATAAATACATCTTTGCTTCTCCTCTGAAAGAGCCTGCTTAAAGGTATTCTTTATTTCTTCTTGAATCAATCAATATCATGGGTCATCTCAGGCTCTCCAAAGCACCAGTGTTCCTCACAGACCCTCATAATTAGGCCTTGGTTGGATCTGAGCCTTCCCCTTGTGAGATCATTTGTGCAGAATGCTGGCTTGGAAACGGGCTATTCTGCAGGCAGCCTGTATATCTCCTGTTATTGGTCTGCGTGAAGAACTAGGTTCACTACATCCTCATACCTTTTTCACTATTTCCTTGAGGAAAAGAACTTTAATCTTCATTTCCAGCCAAAGAAATAGCAAGGCCTTATTAAAGGTTGCTGTTATTTCTTTCACCTCTTAAAATGATTGATTTTGAATCCCGGGAAAGAAGGGAGTAATAATGTTGTTTTAGGCCAGACAGAAGATGGAGCAGGTGCTGTATAAACTCTTCCGCATTAAGATGACATTGTCTGGAGCTGAGGTTGTTAAATTGCTGCAGACACAGCCATGATTTCAGCACAATGTTAAAAAAAACATTACTGCCATAGTAAAATGTGAAACTTGCTCATTTAGATGAAGCTTTCTGCCAAAAAGTCTCCCCTCAAAATTTCCGAATAAGGAAAATTCCTGAGTGCAATTAATGTGCCGTCCGCCAAATCATTTTTGCTTGTCATTTAGATCAGAACATCTGTGTAGAATAAACCAAACTAATCAATTGTATCAGCTTGTCTGGCTTTGACCTTAAAAATTACCATGATTAATGAGGAACTAGTTTTAAAGAGAATCATAGAATCAGGTATTGGTTTTGCTGAAATTTTTACATCTATGTGTTCCCTCTTCTGACATTGCTTCCTATTCTAAAGACCAATTTCCCTCAGAGACTTCATGGCACCAAGTCTTTCCCTGAGCATAAACATGACAAACCTTTCTATATAAAGTACTTGAAAAGCAACTTAAAAAACAATAGAAATTTTCCACTGTAATTGAGGGAGAGGCTTCTTTTAATTCAAGAAAAATATTTTATCATGCCAGACTGAAAAAGTCTAAAACTCAAAAAAAAAGCAGTCAAAGTCCGGGTATGGTATAAGCTGTTTTTCTAAGGTCTGTTTTAATAAATTGTAATTTTAATTTTAAATACAAACAATACGGTTTGCATGAAAACTCTTTGCACACGCTGTCAATGTGAGCAAAAATGCAACAATCTGCACCAAAGGCTGCTCTGAGCTGTCTATCCTCAAAACAAATAATCAAAACTATATATATGAGCTGGAGTGAGTTCTTAAGAAGCTTTGAACTCTTTCTTAACTATGCCATAATTTTGGAAAATATAGAAAGTATATCAAGATTTAAGTAGTATATGCAAAGAAGTTGAAGAAATATAGTTAAAGGAACGTGTGGGAAAGGCAGAAATATCCTCTTCTGTTATTTTCATCAAGCCAACACTGAATATTCTGAAAGACAACTGCCCTAAAGCACATTAGCTCACAGTACTCCAAGACTTTTTTGTGGTTAACTATAAAAAACCTATCTAAATTATCTGTCTCAGCACCAGAACTTTGTGTCTTCACATCTACTTCTAATAACATAAAATTGTACAGCAGCTTAGATAGATTTCTTCTTCCTTAGAAAGAA